GTTGGTCAATTAAACACAGCTGTAATGATTATAGTAATTTATGTTTAACTACCATGGGGCATAGTGATTACAAGGCATTGTTGTGTCATGTAAATCATACACAGAGATCCTTGTGATCAGTGTACTAAATATCAGTCATGTGCTCTGGTAGTAGGTTCAAAGCCATTAAAGATAATTTAGGTTGGCCTAGTCTTGGGATTTTTGCTCCAGGGAAATTAGGGAGGTAAAGAGTGGGTGAGCTTGTTACAGAGAGGACTAATATAAAGATACTTCTAAAAAATTACCGCCATCCTTAGTTATTAAAGAATTCTGAGAAAAATTCAAAATACTGCAGATTTTAATTAATCTTCACAATAACCCTAGGAGGGAATTCTTACATAATGGCCTTCCTTGTTTAAAGCCACCAGTTGTTAGAGACCACAAAAGAGTCACTTTGTCTGCAGTTGCTTCCCTGTTCTGGCTTAATTCATAAATGTTACGATGTTATTTAAAGTAAGTCTGGTATAAATATAAACTGACTATTAGCATATTAATAATTTCCAATTATCATGAGACAAAATGATCTCACCACTAAGAATTTCTGAGAAATGACCTTACACACCAGCTTAAAGAAACAAATATTTGTTAGGGGAAATTTAAAATTATAGATTAACTCTCTGTGATTAAAATGTTTTTGTGTATTAATCCACGCGTATCTGCAGGGCTCCTGCTATGAGTACAATGTTAGGTGCTACAGACACGAAAACAGCTTCTGATAGAAATGAAGTAATAGTTACAGTAATGTGTGTGGTGATGATCTAGAATTCTAAATAAGCCAGAACATGCTGTTAATAAAGCAAGGACTGGAATTTCACAGTCTTAAGAAGGGAAACATACAATTGGAGGATTCTTGAAGAATCACATTTGCCCATACCTTGGCTTTGCAGTTTGGGTCAGATGGCATGGTCTTTAATAACTCTAGGAAAGTAGGTAAGGGAATGCTTTCACATACAAAATTTGCATACAAATTTCTCATTTGTATAGCATCCCTATGAAATAGGTAGGGCAAATATTATTTTCCACTTTTTACAAGAAAATGAGCTCAGAAATAGTACGCTGCTACGAATCACAATGACTAGATGGCAAAGTTAGCAGCTAACCAAATTCTCCAAGTTCTCTTGTGGTGCTGCTGTCTATGATGAAGCATTCCCAAAGCGTTTCCAAAGTCAGCCTTTCACATTCATCTTCAAGTTCCCCCAGCCCAGTTGCCATCTCCAGACTCCAGTGCTACTGTGCTCAGTCCTTAAATCTATTCCACCGGGACCACCTATTCATTTCTCTTTTTAGCCAGACATAGTTAGACAAATCCACAGAAATGTTTACTTTTTTGTTTTTTTTCTTTTTTTTCAATTATAATCTTGAATATTATTTTATATTAGTCTCAGGTGGACAACAAAGTGGTCCCCCTTGATATTTCAAGTATCCACCTGGCACCATACGTAGTTACTAAAATACTATTGACTAGATTCCCCATTCTGTGCTTTATACCCCATGACTACTTGGTAACAACCAATCTGTACTTCTTAATCCCTTCACCTTTTCCATCCAGTTTCCCAACTCCCTTTCTCCCCCGGGGCAACCATCAGTCTGTTCTCTATATCTGAGTCTGTTTCAATTTTGTTTGTTTGTTTTGTTCTTTAGATTCCACATATAAGTGAAATCATATAGTATTTTTCTTTCTCTCAATGATTTATTTCACTTAGCATAACACCCTTTGGGTCTATCCAGGCTATCACAAATGGTAAGATTTCACTATTTTTTATGACCAAGTAATATTCCAGTATATATATATATATGTATGTATGTATCACAGCTTTTTTACCCACTCATCTTTGATGGGAAAAACTTGGGTTGCTTCCACATCTTGGCTGTTGTAAATAATACTGCTATGAACATAAAGATGCATATATTCTTTCAAATTAGTGTTTTGGGTTTCTCTGATATATACACAGAAGTAAAATCACTGAAGGAGGTGAGAACATAAATTGGGGTAAAGGTAGTCTATCAGTAAATTGTGTTGAGAAAATTAGACAGATATCTACAAAAAAATGAATCTAGACCACTTTACTATACATATACAAGAATAAACTCAAAATAGATTAAAGACTTCATTGTAAGACTTGAAACCATAAAACTCCTTGAAGAAAACATAAACAGTAAAATCTATGACATCTCTCTTAGCAATATTTATTTCTGATACATCTCCTCAGGCAAGGGAAACAAAAGAAAAAAATAAACAAATGAGACCACATCAAACTAAAAAGGTTTTGCACAGCAAAGGAAACCATCAACAAAATGAAAAGACAACCTACTGAATGGAAGAAGGTATTAGCCAATGATATATCACATAAGAGGTTAACATCCAAAATTCAAAAAGAACTCATACAACTCAACACCAAACAACAACAACAACAACAACAACAATCCAATTTTAAAATGGGCAGAGGACCTGAATAGACACTTCTCCAAAGAGGACATACAGAAGGCCAATAGACATAAGAAAAGATTCTCAACGTTACCAGTTATCAGAGAAATGCAAAGTAAAACAACGAGATATCACCTCACATCTGACAGAGTGGCTATCATCAATAAATCAGCAAACAACGAGTGCTGGTGAGGATGTGGAGAAAAGGGAACCCTTGTGCACTGTTAGTGGGAATGCAGACTGGTGCAGCCACTATGGAAAACACTATGGAGTTACCTAAAAAAATTCAAGAAGGAATGTTAGCTTTTAACACTAAGGGAAGACAAAAGTATGAAAACAATAAACTTAATTTAGTAGGTTTCAGCCCACAGTTTGGTTTGCCTGACAGGGTATATGGATTTCCAAGACAGAGATCTCCTTTAACTCCTTCCTGTCCGAGAAGGTGATATGTCAGTTCTTGGGCAACTCTTATCTACTTCAGGTCCTTCTTCCCCTCTCCTGGAGAAAGGATTAAACTGAATCTCTAGCTACTTGATTACCTCAGTAATACATAGAAGGAAGAAATTATTACAATCACCATAGTTGTGTATCACATTACTAACCCTTGTTCATATGCACTCAACAGCTTTCATCCCTGCCTGAAAAAAAGAAGAGTACACATTCCAACAACATCTTATGGGAACCTACATATTCCAGTGGAGAAAGGAGTTCTCAAGATGGGAAATATGCAGCATTTGAACCTGCCAACTAAATGGCACCTTTTCCCACCTTCAATTAAAAAAAAAATTCCACTTTTTTTCCCTTCATTTCCAAGAGGCATTTTACAAGATGATGCTAAGATCTCAAGGTGTTGGCAAATCTTTGATATATGAAATAGGGATCTCTCCTAGCATACCTCCAAAGAGTTGAGATGCTTTCTGCAGATCATTCATTCCTTTTGTGTACAGAAAGAAGCCAAGGGGGACAGTATAGAATAATGGTTAAGAGCTTGCACTCTGAAACCAAACTGCTCTGGAATTGTGTTCCTACTGTTTGCTAGCTGCACAACACTGGCCAAGTTACTTAATGGCCCTGAGATTTTATATCTTCATCTACTTAAAAAATAGTTGGCCCCAATCAGATAGCTCACTTGGTTAGAGTGTCAGCCTGATACACCGAGGTTGCAGGTTCAATCACTAGTCAAGGCACATACAAGAATCAACCAATGAATGCATAAATAAATTGGAACAACAAATCAATGTCTGTCTTTCTGTTTCTCTCTGTCTCTCAAATCAATACATAAAAAAAACTTTAAAAATAGCTAGCATTGATTGAACCCATACTATGTGTTAAGAACCACGTATGCTAAGTTTCACATGCTTTACATACATTATCTCATTTAATCCTAACCATGGCTCTGTGAAGCAGATGCTATTGTCACTATTTAGTAGGCAAGAAAATTGAAGCACAAAGAAGTTAAATGGTTTGCCAGAGATTAGCAGTATATGACTGTAAATGATGAAGCCACAATTCAAACACAAGCAATGTGATTCCAAGACCCATGCTTTGAATCATTTCCTTCTTCATAGTGAGACTGTAAGGATTACATGAGCTAATATAAGTTAAGGGCCCTTACATAGTATCTAACACATAAACAAGCCTTAAGTAAATGTTAACTGTAGTATAATTTGTAGCATTGCCATTTGTTCCAAGAAATTCCTGGACCAGGATCTATTTGCATCCATGGCAGTTAATTGCCCTGAGGTATGTGTCTTGCAATTGAACTGGCAGGCCTCTGGTATTACCTAAACAATCTGTGTATTATGGGTTACCTGATTAAGAGATAGGCTAAATGGTTAATAATTTTTTCATTTGCCCATGAGAAAAAACTCCTCATACTAGAAAGAGATATGAAGTCTCTTATAAAATCTTTTAAAAGAATGGTATATGATCAATAGCTAGCAGAATTACAGGCAGTACCTAGATTATAAGTGGTTATATTTCAAAAGTTCATTTGTCTATTGCTATAAACTCTGAATACATGAAAATATGTTTACAAATAGTGGTTACATTCCAAGACTATTCACAGAAGTTTATTTATTTAGCCCATTTTAAAGCTCAATGACAAAAATCATGCCATTAACCCAACCAAGGGCAGGTCTAGGAACAACAGTCCATGTGATTAAAGAATAAGAAAAGTATCTTTCCTGGTACAAAGGAAAGTTGGTATAGAGTATGTTACTGTATTTTTCAGACTATAAGACGCACTCCCCCGCACCCCCCAAAATTTGGGAGGAATAATGGTTGTTAATGATGTTGTTGAGTTGTTTACATTTACATTGGTGGAATATTATGTTATTTATGTTATTAAATATTTCACCACATTTTTTGCTTCCAATTTTTTTTCCTATTTTCCTCCTCTAAAACCTAGGTGTGCATCTTATGGTCTGAAAAATACAGTAGTTATCTACTGCTCTATAACAAATTACCCCTAAACTTACCATATTAAAATAATACATTATCTCACAGTCTGTGTGGGTCATCTGGGTTGGCTTACCTGGGTAGTTCTGCTCAGGATCTCTCATGAGGTTTCAGTCAACATCACCCAGACTGCAGTCATCTGAAGGCGTGTCTGGGGAGATCCACTCTCAATATGACTCACTCACATGGCTGTTGGCATGTTCTTCATCTCAGTTCTTCATCACATGGGCCTTTCCATGGGGCTGCCTGAGTTCCTCATGGCAGGGTAGCTCTGGCTTGCTCTAGTACAAGTGATCGTAGAGAGCAAGAAGGCAGCTGCAATGCCTTTTATGACCTAGTCTTATCAGTCATACATTGTCACTTCTGCCAGGTTCTATTCATTATGGGCCGTAAGCTATTCATAAGTGCAGACCACATTCAATGGGAGGGGGAACTAAGCTCCACCTTTTCATGTGAAATATATCCCAGAATTTTTTAATGTATCTTAAAATCCCCATGGAGTTTTTGTTGTCATCCCATCACTTTCTTTAGGGACCCAGTTATACAAAAGTTAAATTGGAATGCAGAACTTCCCAACAAAGTTTATTGTAAATTTTTTAAAAAATTTATGCTTTTGCCTCAATTTTTCTTGAAAACATCTATCCTTTTCTTTAAATGGAATCTCATTTGAAGAATGTATACTAAAGAGATAGCTATCATACTCCTGGAATATCTGTTTTCTTCATTTATATCTGTCAGTGGAATATCAGGTGCTATAATAAACATTAAAAATAACAAATAACCTATTCCCAATCAATGGATTAAGATATTTGGAGTTAGGAAAGCCAACTTCTGTAAGCTCTTTACCTTCTGCTGATAATGACCTAAGTGCCCTGATTATTGAATATTCTAGGCCTTGGGAACCATGACCTAGAATCTCTGATCATTTTCTAACCTGACTCCCATGGCTACAGCTCTATGAGAATATTGTGGGCTTTCAGAAGTGAGGGACTATCCTGGAATCCAAAAGCAGTTGGTGTTTTTGCATCTGAGACATGAAAAATTCTAAAGCATCATCTGAGTCTTTGAGGGAAAATGATGTTTCATGTGACGTTTTATTATATTTTTTGTAACTTGAAATGTGGTGATCCATGTAGACTGTTGTCAAAATACAACATTTATAAATACTGGATAAATAGGAATTTGCACTATAATTCAACTCCAAGTAGGAGCTGAGTGCTTGAACTATACAATGATTTGTCCTGACACAGTTTTGTTGTTTTTTATCTTATTTGAGATTTAACCCCATTTGAGAATACAATGAAGTGTAAGGGACTTACTCAAAATAATACTCATACCCACAAAATTTAGCACAAAAGTTTAAGACTTCCCAAATTCCAAAAACCCATCCAGGGAATCACGGTGGAGGTGGGGGACCGCGGGGGACGGCGGGGTGGAGGGGGGGAGGTGCCCAGAGCAATTGCCATTCCATTAACATTTAGCAGCCCTTTCTCTTTCCATTAACATTAAAAGCCTTTTTCTGTTTAACTGTTTAACTTGCTAAACAGAAGAACTAGAGGCCAGAATTAGATACTTTCTGTGCTTGGGTTTAGTCCATATTGTGAATACTTGGAGGCAAAAGGAATGTGGAGTGAGCACACAGAGAACAGCACATATTTGCTGAAAAAACAATAGTAAATATATATTAGGAGACAGAACTGCTGACGACCGTAAGCCTCGCCCTCTCCAAGTTGACCCGCCTGTGCAGCAAATTCTGCCAAATTGCCAGAGAGGCAGCAACTCAGGAGAGGAAAGCTGCTTGATTGAAAGGGCTAAGAGCATCCTAAACCGAGATCCGTCGCGAGATTTTTCCCTCCTTCGGTGGAGCGAACTCCCAGCGCGGGCGGGAGGATTCGAGTCTACCCGCTGCGGACCCGGCTTCCCGCTGCAGCTGTCTTACAACGAGGGCAAGTGGAAGGGCCTTGCGGAGCTGGGGCTACTCCTGTGAGCGTCCCTCAGTCAGAGGCCGGCGGGGACGCGGGACAGGCTCGGCGAGCGCCCCTGCCCCGCTCCTCCCGGAACCTCAGCCCAGCGCGCCGCCGCCCGCGCGTCCCCGCGCCTACCCCTCCGTCACACGCCTCGCCGGCGGCCGCTCTGGCGCACGCGCGCGCGGTCTCGCGCAGGGCGGGGAGGGGCGACGGCCTCGGGCTCCCGGCCCCGAACCTGTCAGACCCGCGGAGCCGGCCGGGAGCTGCGGGCGCTGCAGGCGAGAGATCAGCTGCGTGCCCCGCGGCTCCGGGCCGAGCGGAGCTAGCCGGACCCACCGAGCCGGCTGGGGGCGGGGAGATGAGTGGCCGCCCTTCGGTGACTCCCCAGAGAGACGCGCCGCCCCCTCGCGGAGCCACGGCGCCTCCGAGCTGGCCCTGCGCCCGGTGCCGCCCGGAGCTTCGGAACTTGTGGGCTCTGATGGAGTTCCTTTAATCTAGGACGCTTCGTTTTCCACAGGATGGGTAGAGACGCACGGCCGTGCCACCGGGAGCTGGCGCCCCAGTGAAGCAGGAGCCCGCCGGCCGGCCGGCCGCCTGCCGGGAGCCGTTCGTTCGGCGCCGCGGCAGCGCAGCCGCTGCCATGGCCGGATCCGGTGCGTGGAAGCGCCTCAAATCTCTGCTGCGGAAAGATGATGCGCCGCTCTTTTTAAATGACACCAGCGCCTTTGACTTCTCAGACGAGGCGGGGGACGAGGGGCTTTCTCGGTTTAACAAACTTCGAGTTGTGGTGGCAGATGACGGTTCTGAAACCCCGGAAAGGCCTATTAACGGGGCGCACCTGGCCCTCCAGGCCGACGATGATTCCTTGCTGGACCAGGACTTACCCTTGACCAACAGTCAGCTGAGTTTGAAGGTGGACCCCTGTGACAACTGCAGCAAACGGAGGGAGTTGCTGAAGCAGAGAAAAGTGAAAACCAGACTGACCATTGCTGCCGTTCTGTACTTGCTTTTCATGATTGGAGAACTTGTAGGTGAGTTGTGTGGCCAACTCACTTGCCATTTCCATTTGTCAAGCTTTAGATACATGTGATTTGAGGTTTAAACTGTCTTTTCATGAAGCTTGTTATTTGTCAAGATACTGATCTCTTGTCATGTGAAAAGGCCACACAGTTTCAAAGTGCAGCTCAATCTAAGTACAACATAAATTTATTGTATACCTTCATTGTATATTACATAACTTCCTCTTTTGAAAAAAGAATTGAGATAAAACACCAGGTTAAAATAATGCATGATTCTAAAGTTACTTAGAATCATAAAACTTTACAGTATGAAGGGATCTTAGTGAACACCTGCTTCGCCTTCTTTTTCACATAAGGAATCTAAGGGCCCAGAGAGGTTAAATTAGTTGTAAGGAAATTATATAATTAATGGAAGAGTCACATCTCCAGTCCCAGTCTCTTGATTTTTTTCTGTACATTCGACTTATGTGGCCTCTTTATACTGTTTTCCACTCGATTTATATCCAAGAGATTTGCAAAATTAAATACTAACAAGTAACCCAAAAGTTATTCATTATAAGGGGGATCTGAAAGGTACCAGAAAATGGCTCCCCAGAGTTTATGAACTTGGTTTTATTTTTTCATTGTTTAGAGACTAATATCACAGTCACTTCAGTGTAACTGCTCATTTATCTTAGTGACCATTTACAAAGTGACATTAAAGCAGGGAGTTCGTTTTCCTGTGTTGTCTCTTAATGATGAAACATGACAAGGACAGAGGTGGCAATCCAGATTTAAGGTGGTGGTGGGAGGTTAAATGTCCAAAAGTTGTATGTACGTCCTACCTCATTTCATATCACTCCTCCCCACTGCTCATTTCAGACAAGCTGGCCACAACTCAAAAGCTCTTCTGTCCTTAAGGCCTTCACACTGGCTGGTCCCTCTATCTCAGTGGCTTTCAAATTATTTTGACATCACTACAGTAGGAAATACAATGAACATTGTGACTTGTGTAGGTGTGCATCATACATATGTATATGTACACACATATATGTAAATATATGTATAACTGAAACAAATTTTATTTCATGTGATGTGTTTTAATATTTTTCCAATTGTGGTCCCATCCCACTTAGTTGATTTCATGGTCCACAAATAGAGCAAGGTCTGCAGTTCGAAAAACACTATTTATGTGGATTGCCTTTGCCCAAATCTTCTCTTGGCAAGTTTCTTGTTACTGGTGTCTCCTCTCAAAACACTCCTCTAAGAGACCTTATCTGATTAACTAAAGTATACCTTCTCCCTTGTTCCCTCCCCAACTTTAAAAGCCCACAACATCTGAGATTATCTTTTTTGTATATTTACTTGTCTTGTATTTACTTGTTTAATATCTGTCTTTCTCTACTGAAATACAAGCTGAATTCCCAGCACCCAGAACAATGATTGGCACAGAGTAGATACTCATTAATTTTTTGTTGAATTTATTTTTATTGTGTTAGAGAATTATAAATGCTTAAGCCGTGAAGAAATTAAAAGATGGGAGTGAAGCTGTAGCCAGATAAGGCATGGTGTTAGCAGACTAAGATTCAATGACTTATGCAAATTCACATAACTACAATATTGAGTTATTTGGACGTAGTGATTTTTTGTTAATATTTAGTATTTGAAGTTAAAATTACATTAATCACAATTTTCCCCTGTAAAATTAATTTAGAATTTATTTTGCCAAAGTAAAGATTATTAAGATATAATTGTCCTGACTTAACTATTTTTAAAATCTCTCATTTGGCAAATGTTTTGCGAAAACCACAATAAGTATTTCCTTTCAAATACTGACTTTATTTTGAAATACGAAGATCTTTTATTAAACAACACAGATGCTAGTACTTAGGATAGGCATTAACAATAGTGTTTAGAATGTAATATAGAGTTAAATTGTATGTAGTACAGCGTTTATTAAAGTATGTCAGAAGGACCTAGAAATAAAGCATTTTTATAAGCATGGAGTAATTTTTTAAATGAAGTAATTTGAATACTGAAGGAGGAGATGATTTTGAATCTGGCTTTGCCACTACCTTGCTCTGAGACCTTAGACAAAGTCCATTCTTCCATTCAGCAAGTATTTTTTTGAGTACTATATGTCAGGCACTGCGCTATGTGGATATACAGTGGAGAACAGAAGTATTATCCCTACTATCTGAAGCATTTAGTCTAATGGAAGACACAAATGTTAAACAAATAAACACACAAGTAAATTTAGAAGTCAAATGGTCTTAAGAACTAAGAAGAAAAAGAACAAGGTACTTACTATAAGACATAGTAACCAGTGAGACATACGTTATGTATGAGCCAGATACAGTTAAAATTAAAAAAAAAAAAAAAAAAAAAAGAATAGTAGGAGTTGTTCCTACTATTGGAAGCAAATGGAGTAGAGGAATTTTCCAAGTGAAGAGAACAGCATTTATAAAGGTCCTAAAACAGACCCTTTAAAAGGACCTAAAAAGAAGGCCAGTTTGGCTGGAATGTAGAAAGCAAGAGGGAAAGAGGCTGGGGTACCACATCAGGTACCCCATTTGAAGCTTCAAGAGATCCAGTAAGATGAGAACTAAAATATTCTTGGGGTTTAATAACTGCATTCTTATTGGAAATGAAAAAGATTAAAAAGTGAATGCAAACAGACCTCTAGGTAAAGATGGCTAATGAACTCATGCATCTAATTGTACTGTCTCCTGAAGCCTCTCTTAAATTTACAACAAAGGCATTTATATATATAATCTCCACAAAGATGTAGAAAACTGGAGAGGGGACAATAGCAACACAAATTTGGGAAACTAGAAAGGAAATTGATAAATGACGTAAGTGACTTAATAGACCCAAGAAAGCCACCCCCTAAGCAATTAGTAGGGAAAGCCACAAACTAACCTAAAGCATGAGAAACACCTAGAGAACTTTTTCAAACATAAATTACTGGGCCAGAGTTTCTAATTAAGTAGTTCTGGGATAGGGCCTGTGAATTTGCATTTCTAACAAGTTCACAGGAGATACTGATACCACTGATCTGGTGACCACTGTTGAGAACTACTGTAGTAGAAGATCCTAATTAGGCCCAGAATTGGTTGCAGCAGATACTCCTAGAAGTGTGGGTAAAGAAGAAGGCTAACATAAGGAACTTAGTTAAAACCTGTTTAAGACACAGTCAGACATAATAATGTACTAATATAATTAGTATCCACAGAGATAAGATCATGTACCCCATGAAACAAGAACAGATTGCTTTAAAAAAGAAATTCAGGGTTGTTTTTTTTTTAAAGAGGTTTTCAGCAACGAAAACAATTAAAAATTTTTTTTCACTTAAAAAAAATTTTACAGAAAAGTAAGAAGATAAACTAAGGTAATTGTGTATCTCTTTTATCCCTCTATTAGGAGATATTGCTGTGTGTATTCAAATGAATCAGGTATTTTTATCTTTTATTAGAACTAATGTATATTTTATGAGTTTATTCAGTTTAATTTTATGTTCAACCCTCCCAAACAAGTGAATACCTACTTTTTCTTCAGCTTTATTATATTTAGATATTGTGGTTATGAATTTCACTGTCTCATAGTTTAATTAGTTGATTGAGTAAAAGCTGTAGTGCTAAAACCCAAAACTTACATGTTTTACCCTGCAGTTTAATGGTTCTTAACTTTTTAAGGTCATTGACTCCTCAGAAAATCTGTTCACACAAATGGGCATTCTAGCTAGAAAAATATATGCATATTTAATGTTTTGCATAAAATTTCAGGTACCTTGATTTCATTGTAATAGGATAAAAATTTAGTTAGCTCATGTTTTATAGGATGTTACATATTTTTGGCTTGATTGCTTACATTTGTTATTTTAGTTAACTCATTCCTTCTCCCCTCTCGTCCTTACTCTAAGGTGGATACATTGCAAATAGCTTAGCAATCATGACAGATGCTCTTCATATGTTAACTGACCTAAGTGCTATTATACTGACCCTGCTTGCTTTGTGGCTGTCTTCAAAATCACCAACCAAAAGATTCACCTTTGGATTTCATCGCTTAGGTAGGTAATTCAGAGGGTTTTTTAGTTTAAAAAATTTTATGGTAAGACAACAATGAACTATATATAACCTTTGATTAACTTAAATCTTTCTGGTAATAAGTTCTGTTGAAGTAGATGAACAAAGCAAATAAAAATAGGTGAACATGATTTTTTTAGATGTATATCTTCCCATGTACGTTCAGCCCAGTCAGATAAACACTTTACACATATAATATTATATGATAGAGGGACTTCCAGTGAAGATAGAGTGGCTTAAGTAAATGCGGCTCACCTCCTCTCACAACCACATCAATTTTACAACTAAAATATAGAACAAACATCACTCATAAACAGAAGAAATCAAGTTGAAGGGAAATCTGACAACTACAGAATTAAAGAAACCACATCCATCCAATCTGGCAAGAGAGGCAGGCACATGGAATGGGCTGGTCCCACATCCATGTGGAGTGGATAAAAATTTGGGAGGGATATCTCAGGAGCCAGGAGTCCCAGCCCCATACCAGGACCCCCAGCCCAGGGTTCCGAGCCAGGAAGATAAGTCCCCATAGCTTCTGGCTGCATAAACCAGTGGGGGTTGACTTGGTGGAAAAAACTTCTGGAGTCTCATGCAGTTCCTCTTAAAGAACCTACACACAAACTTACTCAGACTCACTGCATCTGAGCTCCAACACTGGAGTAGCAGCTTGAAAGACACCAGTGGCATACTGGGAGGAACTGAAGTGTATGGCATTAAAGTGAGAGCTGGGGGACAGCTTTTTCTCTGACAAAAATGGGGACAGAGCCACAGAGCCAGAAGGTGGATATCATATCTGAAACTTCATCAACCTGGCTAATACTCTGCCCTGCCCTGGCAATCCCCTGAGGCTCTGTCCCACCCAATTCACAGCTGTTAACAGTAGCTTTTTCCATATGAATGGCTGGTCTTGGCTCATGCTTCACAACTTCCTAAATCCTCTCAAACAAGCAAAAGCTGGCCTCAGTGATACCCAGCCCCCTTACCTCTTACTAAGGGGCCTCAGGCACAACACTAGCAGCAGCCAACCTTGGTTCACAACTTGGCTTCACCTGGAAATCTCCAAGCCCAGTACAAGTAGCAGCCATCTCAGACTGCTTATAGCACTGGCAGAATGGTCTCAGGAAAAACAAAGGTGGGGGCCGACCTTGGCCTATACCACCCCGAGAAACCCCAGGACTTGCACAGCCAGTGGAAAGCTACAGACCACATTAGAGCACCACCACCACCCTGCCTCTGCACAACTGACCCTCCATGGAGGGTGGAGGTTGGTGGTTAGTGGTCACAGCCATTCCTTGCAACTGAGTGACCTGGGAAAACCCCTCATGTTGACCTGCCTACAGCAACCAAGATTCAACTACAAGAGGACGGTATACTCAGCCTATACCAAGGGCATACCTTGAGCAATAGGGGTACCCAGCTTGGGTAATAGGGGAGGTTGTGCCACTGGACACTACAGGACAACTACTACATTAGGCCATGCTATCAAGACAGCTCGACCTAATATAGAAACAAATACAGGGAGGCTGCCAAAATGAAGAGACAAAAAAAAAAAACCAAAAAAAAAACCATGGTCCAAATGAAAGAACAAATTGAAAGTCCAGAAGAAAAAGAACTAAACAAAATGGAGATAAGCAATTTATCAGATGCAGAGTTCAAAACACTGGTTATAAGGAGGCTCAAGGAATTTAGTGAGGACCCCAACAGCATAAAAAGGATCCAGTCAGAAATGAAGTATACACTAATTGAAATAAAGAATAATTTACAGGGAAACAACAGTAGAGTGAATGAAGCCGAGAATCAAATCAATAGTTTGGAATATAAGAAAGCAAAAAACAACCAATCAGAACAACAAGAAGAAAAGAGAATCCAAAGAAATGAGTATAGTGTAAGCAACCTCTGGGACAACTTTAAGCATTCCAACATTCGCATCATAGGGGTGCCAGAAGAAGAGAAAGAGCAAGATATTGGAAATCTATTTCAAAAATAATGAAAGAAAACTTCATAATTTGGTGAAGGAAATAGACATAAAAGTCCAGGAAGCACAGAGAGTCCCAAACAAGATGGATGCAAAGAGGCTCCCCCCAAGACACATCATAATTAAAATGCCAAAGGTTAAAGATAAGGAGAGAATCTTAAAACTAGCAAGGAAAAAGTAGTTACCTACAAGGGAGTTCTCATAAGACTTTCAGCTGATTTCTCAAAAGAAACTTTGCAGGCAAGAAGGGAGAGGGAAGAAATACTCCAAATCATGAAAAGCAAGGACCTACGATCACGATTGTTCTATGCAGCAAAGCTATCACTTAGAATCAAAGGGCAGATAAAAAGCTTCCCAGAAAAAACTAAAGGAGTTCATCATCACCAATCCATTATTATATGAAATGTTAAAGGAATTTATGTAAGAAAAAAAAATCAAAACTATGAACAATAAAATGGAAAAAAATGCAACACTATTAACAATTGAATCTAAAAAAGAAACTAAGAAAACAAGAAGAACAGAGACAGAATCATGAACACGCAGTGTGTTTTGATGGTTGCCAGATGGGATGGGGATGTAGGGGAGTAGGTGAGGAAGTGAGGGGATTGAGGAATACAAATAGGTAGTTACAGAATAGTCATGGGGATGTAAAGTACAGTATAGGAAATGGAGTAGCCAAAGAACTTGTACACGTGACCTATGGACATGAACAATGGTGTGAGGATTGCCTGAGGGTGTGGGAAGAGCTTAGTGGAGGGGGAGAAGGGGGGGCAAAATTGGGATAACTGTAATAGCATAATCAAAAAAACACAATTTAAAAAATTATTTGGTAATCATTAATTTTTAAATGTGTTCCCTACTTCCTGAAGATGTTATCAGGAAGAAATTCATCTTCTATTTATTGAACCAAGCAAAACCATGTGGGTTTAATTAATGAATGAATCTACTTAATTAATTTCTTTCACTTAGGTTATTCCAACCAAGGCTACTATAGCCCAGATTTTAAGCATTACTATAATACATATAACATATGAGTATACTCTGTGGCTGACCTTCATTGAGGCCATTTTATCAATATAATTCTGTGAATGCTGACAGAGATCTTTGCTTTACCAGATTTCATTCAAGTCTCCTGAACCTTCTCTGAAGCCCATCTGTGCACTTCCTTGTAAAATCTAATTTTAGCAAGAACCTTGCGTAAGCCAATTTAACAGAACCTCCCACTCTCAATATCTTATGGGTTGCCCCCAAGTGATGACTTGTCTTCAGCAAGAATTCTGTTAGGTCAGTTTAACCAGAATCCCGCTTACTCCTATTTCCTCCTAGTAATTTTCTGTACACAGACTCCCACCCTGCTTCTTGTCTATAATTCCTACTTGCCCACACAATATTCAGAGTTGAGCCCAAACTCTCTCCCCAACTGCAGAATTCCATTGCAGTGGTCCCTATGCATATCTCAATAACTTCTTCCCCAATGAATAAATTATTCTTTTACCATGTTTTAATGCACATATTTTATTTTTCTATTTTTAACAAATATTAATATTTAACTGAGGTTAAATCATGTAATCATACACAACTGTGTTTCTTGCTGTCTTACTGTTTTTAAATTTTTGCTTATTTAAAAAATATAAGATAATTGCCTGGACTCATATGAAGTGCCATATGTCTACATGTCATTTGCTTAGAACCCAAACATTGACATTTAGGTAGCTTCAGCAAAACCTGTCTTAAAGAACGAGAATTAACATACTGTCATTTTATTTTGTGGAGACACTGACACTCTTGGCTAATGTATCTATCAGTTCCTCCCCTTTGTTGTTACTTTTTAGCCTAATATTAACTCAACATCTAGGTCTTCTAAAATGTAATCACTGGATATTCTATTATATAATTTGACACTGTAGTTGAATAGCTATATTCCAAGTAGCTATCCAAGCCATCTGGTTGGGAAATTATCTAGTATCTCACGCCTTGGCACTCTCAACTGCTGCACAAAAGAGCTAAAGCCCTGAGTGAGGTTTTCTGTCATTTTTAAAGCCACTGCATAATGCATTTGGATGTGTTCCTAAAGGAAACCCCACTACTTTCCAACATATTATACATTCATTTTTTAATTGATTGACCTGGAGTTTTTTTTAACAAGTTTAAAATTATTTTCAAACTTTATATTTTTTATGATTTAAGCACCTGCATTTTAAGATCTAAAACAGCATTATGGAATGGGGACTTTTACCCTCTAGCACTATTTGAGAGAGTATGTTTCATTTAATAGTTCTGTGGTTCTTAACCTCTTTTAGGATATAGACCCCTTGGAACTCTAATGAAGGCAGTGGCACTCCACCGCAGAAACATGCAGTAACAGAACATAAAAGTCCTGCATATTAGTTAAAAACCAGTAATGGTGAAAATTCTATTAAATATCAAAGAAGTGTAGTGGAACCTTGGTTCTCAAATTTATCTCTTTCCAGAAAACTGTTCAAGAAGCAATTTGTTTGAAAACCAAATTTCCTTTTTTACCTGAGAGACAAGTGACTGATCATACAGGTATCAGCATGAAAGGGCTGTCAGATAGAGAATGAAGACCCAAAGTTCAGTTAGACCACTGAGACATTTTTTCCATGAACAACTTGGTTGGGAACTGAATTGTTCAAGAACCAAGATGTTAGAGAACCGAGGTTTGGCTGTACTTAGTATTTATCCAGATAGTCACTTTGTGTACTCATAGATGATAAGCACTATGAAAAAAAAATGAGAGAAAATAGAACTGACTGGTCCTATTGTGTCTCTGAAAATTTCTACAGAAAGCCAGATCTTTCCCTTTCCTTAAAAGTGCTAAGTTCAAGACATTGGACTAGAGATCATCATTTGAGTCCAGTCGGTCCTGACCGTCCATTGAAATAAAAAGTACCAGAACAACAGAGAGAAGCAAATGGTTGGGTCACTGGTAAACAAGAAATTTCCAGAAATCTCTGGAAGTTAGAAAATAGATGGGAGGGGATTGAAGGA